GCATCAACTATCTAGAGTAATGTTGGAAAGTTGGAGATGGGTAAGGGGGTTGATGAGGGAAAGGGTTATGGTGGTTTAGTTAAGGGAATTAGATCAAGTGAAGGATATTTATGTGTCTGAGGAAGGAGAACAGGTTGTTATAAGAAGCAAGGATATGATGTAGGTCTGGTCTGTGAGAATGGAAACCACGAATATTCCAATGTAGGAGAGCTATATTTTAGTTATCTTATGAATGAAAGCGCCTGTACGTATTGGGAAATCTAGGGAGGAAGGAGCTAAAGGGTGTTGTGACATGAGTGATTCCCGTGTGTATCCGGAGGGAGGGAGAATGTGCGTGTATTTGGAGTTGAAGGAGGTGGGTTGTGTTGGGAGGGAGTAGGAGGAAGTGGTGAAGGGGGAATATTAGTGGTAGGAGGATAGATATCGGAAGGATGGATAGTTGGAGTTGGAAAGGAAGGGGTGTAGGGGGAATATGAGTAGGAGGGGTATGGATATCGACAATCACTTCAAATGTGGAGGGAGCATGAGTTATGGAATTTTGTGTCTCAAGCATATAGCTTTGAATGTTTTCCATAGTTTCTGCAGTGGAGTTGGTTGGAGATTTTTGTGGGACAAAGGTTTTCTTATGAGGGGGGGGGGAGAGGAGACTGGTGTCTGAGGAGTAAAGGTAGGTGGAGGTGAGTGTGCAGTAGGTTAAGAAGGGGTGGAACGTTTAGTCTGTCTACTGCGGATAGTGCGGGGAGGGAGAAAGGATGGTGTTGGGGCTGTAGTTGAGATTGGGGTGTCTGGATTTAGAATGGCCAAAGAATTTGACTGGGGAGGTTGAATGTAGAAGTGGAAGTGGGGAAGTAAGTAGGTATAGGGGAGGGTGTAGGAACATCTTGAGGTGTAGTTGGTGAAGTTGGAGATTGACGGGGAGAACTCTAGGCCTGGGTAGGCCTAGAGCTGCTTGCTGTGATCTGCTCAGTGTGGAGGATCCAAGTGCTGATCTCGGCCCGGGCGCTGGAGCTTATCCCAGTAACGACGGGTGTCCCACATATGAGGCACCTGAAAAAATAAACACTGCCGGGCGTCCCGCCAGTGTGACACTGTATCCGGCCGCGGCCAGCGTGCAGGCAGAGTCTGGGCCAACCCCGCGCGCCAAATTTGTAGCCACCTGGAATCTTTTATTTTCAGCTTCAAATATACCGGTGGTAATGGGTTACATAGTGCTAAGCTGTGCCAGCTACCAGGAGTGAGGGGTGCCTGCGGGAGCTATCCTTTCTCATCCAATCAGTTCTCGGCATTAGTCATCAAGAGGCAGCTGAGGTGAGGTGCTGAGGACACGGCTGTGTACTATTGACCCAACCTGGGGGAAGTATGCAGCGCTGCAGGTTGCAGAGGTCAGCTACAGTCTAACCAGTCCTTGTTGTATGACAAGCATTTGGGGGGATAGAAACAGTTCCAGTACAAGTATTAAGAGAGGGGTGAGGTTCAGCAGGAATGGGTAAATAATGCTCGAGCTTGTGATTCAGATTTAACTGTGATAAGGCGTGAGCGATTAGAGCGACTGTGAAAGGTAACCTTGCCTACTTGTTACTGGAGGCACTGTTGAAAGAGAAGGGTATTCTCAGAATAGGGGGCTGAGGGAGGAATCGCAAAGAATCGATACCACTTGGCTGGGCCAAAGAGTGCACTCAGGTTTGCAGAGATGGAGGCAGTAGAAGGACGAGGGTGAGAGGAAGATAAGGTGGTGTGGAGTGGAGTAGTTCTGCAGGGGGAGGACAATTATAGATGCAGAGTAGTAATAAGGGAAGAGGGGGTAGGCATTAAAGAGGACTGTGCGGTAGATGGAGAGGAGAATGTTGGGAGAGAGAAAGGGGTATTTTCTGGAGGCTGAGTAATAACCTGGGTGGGTGTTTTGAAATGGTTAAACTTGTTCATAAGTGTTGAAGAGGGGGTTTTGGTATTCAGTGGTCAGAGCCGTGGTCAAAGGAGGGGCAGGGGTCAGAAAACCATGAAAATCAAATTTAGATAGTCTAGTAAAGGGTAAGGGGCAAGCCTTAATGCCCCTATTAAGGGTTGGCCATGGTGAGCCTGAATAAAATGAGGAAAAGAAACAGTCGACCCCTCAGGGTCCCCATAAGGGGTAAGGGCTAGGCAATTAACCAAGGGAATACTATGCCTATGGCTCCTGAAGGCCTTTCATGACCGACACAAAGCCAGCCTTTCATTCTTTCCGCGCGGCTCTTAACACCTTAGGAATGGAATAGAAGGGGATGAAGATACAGAGGACAGGAAAGAAGAAAAGACCAAGCAAAATTAGTTGAGGCGAGGGCTGAGGCCCAGGACAGAGCAGTCTCCGTCTGCTAAGCCCTCTCACAACGTCAATAAAGAAAATTATTTTTTTCCTTATGCAGAGCTGTACTTCCATTAGCCAAACTCTTTCCTAAATGGTCTTCATACTCTCCTAAAGGATAATCAATTTTCTGATTCTTGGCATTCTCTACTAATCTGGTAAAGGGACTCTGAGCTAGTTTGTTGTGCTTGCTTTTTCAAAACTCATTTTTTCTTTGGAAGTGTGGTGGTTTTAAACTCATAAACTTTTAATCTTGCCTTTTGGAGATCTCAAACTCTTTTTTAAGCTTATTGGCTAAACTAAAGTCAATTTTTTATAAGATATTCTCAATATTCAGGACTTTTAATTACCCAAACACAATTTTTCCTTTTCTTATGTATACAAGTTTTACATAAAAGAAGAACAACTTCATTCTGTGGATAACATGAAGAGGAACAAAAATTAGTCCACATACATGTACTATGCTGAAAACAATGAGCCATAATGTAATTGGGCCAACAGATTTTGCAAGATACTGACATTCAGTTTTTTAACCATTGTAACACGATTCTTGAATCGTATTGAGCAGAATAGTTCCCCTTATCATTTACATTTTCTGTTTTAGCATGGAGTTTCAACATTATCTCAAGGAATATTCATTTATACATTTATAGATCATTATAAACAATCTTAGAGTTTTTGATATGAACAATTTAGGGATGCTGTAATTTTCTGATTTATTATTATTTAAGGGAGAGGGACCTTTTACAATCAAATATATTTCATAATATCATGAGGGAAGGGACAGAGAAGAGAAGTGCCAACAGAGGAACAAACATGTTGCAGATGTTTTGAGAAATAGCCTTGATACTTGAACATTAATTCAGAACTATAAACCAAAATAACAGGACATTGTACAGACCTGGCAAAAATGAATATAAATGAATAGTAAATATAAACCTACTGAGACATTACAGTGCCACCAAAGAAATGTTTGGACTTTGTCTTGGTGCAAATGGTGCCATCAATGTTGAGGGTATATTGTTTGTAATTTCAGAAATATTTAGGGCTTTGAGATATGATTATGAGACTTTTGTAATTGATTATTAAACATGTTCTATTTCAGTGAAATGTAAATACCTTTAAGTTTCTCGTTACCTTTTTTGCCCACGTGTTGTGAGTTGCTACCCTTCAATATGAATATATCATTATGCTATATAATTTAAATCTGTAATTCTATTTATGTTATTATAGTTTGTGGATTTGTTATAACAATCATTTTTGATTATTTTTATTTTTATTTATGATTGTTGATTAAGTAATTTATGTGATATTATGGTTGTGATAACTGTTAATTCATCTAGTTGTATTTCAACATTTACATTTTGCTTTGCTTATTGTCAATTATAATATGTAAACATTTACAGGTTGGACAATATTGAATAAAGTGTTTTACCCCACCTGAAGAGTTTGGACCTTACAATCATAGATCATTGTATTAAACGCATAAGACACAAAGTAATCATATCCTGTAATTCCAGCCTAAGAGACATTGGACAGTCCCTGTTATATTAGCTTGTTACTCTGGACATTTTCTCCAAAGTTTCCAATATACTCTGCCTCTTTTGTGGCATTTTGCATTTACCTTGTTTAAGCGGAGCACTACTCTAAAAATTACACACTTTATCTTGGTTTGTGTTTTCTGGTTTTGAAGTACCACTTTCTTCTAAATTCCTAAAGAACAGACTGTGGTTCATATAAAAACATCAACAATAACAGTAAAAACAACAATAATACTGATAACAAAAATAAAAATGAAAATAAAAAAGACATTAATAATAAAACATTTAAAATAATAATGATAATGATAATTATAATGATAGTGATGATAATTATAATGATAGTGATGATAATAATAACAATAATCATGATCATCATAAAAACATCAACAATAAAAACACAAAGACTAATAGTGGTGATGATGATGATGATGATGATGATGATGATGATGATGATGATGATGATGATGACGATGACGATGATGGGTGATAATGATGAGGCAAAAATAGCAATTAATAATAATAATAATAACATTAAGAAAAAGAAGAAGAACAAGAAATAAAAAATAATAATAATAAAAATAATAATAATGGTAATAATAATAATATTAACAATAATGATAATGATAATAATAATAACGATGATGATAACAGCAATGATAAAAATAATTATAATAATAATAAGAAGAAGAAGAAGAGGAAGAAATAAAATAAAAACAATAATATTAATGATAATAATAATAATAATAACAACAACAATAATTACAATAATAATCATAACAATAATAATAACCACAACAATAATAATAACAACATTAATAATCATCATTATAACAGTAGTAACAACAATCATTAGCAACAATAATAACAATACTAACAATAAGAACTAAAATAACAATAACAAAAAACAATATTAATAATAATAATGATAATTGTGATAATATTAATGATACTAATATTGAAAGGGATGACAAAAAAAAATAACAGCACTAAAAATAACAACAATACTTATTATTATAATTATAATAACAACAATGATAATAATAGCAATAGTCTAATGATAATATTGATAATCATATCAATCATATGAATAATAACAACAATAACAACATCTATCAGTAACA